AAGTCTACTAACCTTCCAACCATTTTCATCAACACATCTCCTGATATTTGAGGCATAACCATCTGGCATCTTGACATGTTGTAGAAATCTACACAGAATTTCCGTCTGACTTGGACTTAACGTGTACAAGGCTACTGGCAAAGTGTATTTTCCTTTATGGACCAATAGATGTTGATCCTTCCTAATACCCAATTCTTGCAAATCAAGTCGAGCCTTCTCACTGTCCTTAGATTTACCTGTTACATCAAGCAAAGTACCTAGCAAGCTCTCACATATGTTCTTCTTAATATGCATCACATCTAGATTGTGGCGTATAAGCAATGATTCCCACTAAGGAAGATAAAAAAAATACTCTTCTTCCTCCAGTTGTGCCATCTAGTATTTTCAATTCACCCTTGTTATTGAAGCTAACCTTGTTCTTTCGCCACCTGTGGTTTGAAGCCAAAAAGCGGCGATGGCCCATATAGCAGTGCTTCTTGCCGTATTTTAACCACAAGTATTCAGTATCCTTGTGACAATAAGGACACACAAACTTGCCTTTTGTGCTCCAACCTGATAACATGGCATACGCAGGAAAATTATTTATTGTCCAGAGCAGAATTGCACGTAGCGTAAAATTCTTTTTCACCTTGGCATCCCATGTTTCAACTCCTTCAGTGCATAGCTGTTTAAGCTCATCGATCAGCGGCTGCAAATATACGTCAATGTTCATCCCTGGAGATCTAGGCCCAGGTATCAGAATCGATATCATCCAATAAGATTGTTTCAAGCACAACCAAGGAGGCAGATTATAAGGAATTAGGATCACCGGCCATGTAGTGTAAGTCACATTCAACATCCCAAATGGATTGAATCCGTCTGATGCAAGTCCAAGCCTAACATTGCGTGGATCAGATGCAAACCGATCCCTGAACTTTTCATTTACGTGCTTCCATGCTAATGAGTTTGCTGGGTGCCGCACTTTCCCATCATCAACCAATTCTTCCTTGTGCCAACGCATATATGTCGATGTGGTCTCATTCATATATAATCTCTGAAGTCGAGGAATAAGTGGAAAATACCGAAGTATTTTACGAGGACGAAGGACCTTTTTCTTTGCTCCTCCAATACCACTTCCTTCCCCGAGTTCTCCAGAATCTATATTTTTCCACCTACTCTCCCCACATGTTGGACATGTGTTCATCTTATCATACTCTCCACGAAATAACACACAATCATTGACACAAGCATGAATCTTTTGGTAGTCCAACCCAAGATCTCGGACTACCTTACGAACTTTATCCAAAGTATTTGGGACACAATATCCCTCATGGAGCAAAAGACAGAATAAGTGAAGTATTTGCTCCATGGCATTGTTGCTGATACCGTACATGCACTTAATCTGAAATAGCCTAACAATGAAAGATACCTTTGTAGCCTCCTTGCACCCTGGGTATAATTCTTTCCGAGCTTCTTCCATAAACTGAAAAAATTGCTGACTCATTTGGCACCTTAATATTATTATCTCTGATATCCCCGTGTATAGCACCACTAATTAGCGAAGAAAGCAAATTATCGACAGAGCCGACATCATCAACTTCGGCTTCACTAATCTCCCGATCATCCACAACCATAGGTTTACTAACAGAACGTTTCTGTTTTATGAAATCCTTATCAAACCCTCTACCAAGCAAGTGTTGTTGAACCTCAATTTTCGTTCCGTACGCCATGCAACAACACCTAGTACATGGACAGGCCGCAGTCTCTCCTGGATAGGTACCTTCAAATGTATGTTCAATGAATTTCTCGAATCCAACTTGCCACGCATCATCTGACTGAGACAATAGCATCCAACTATGATCATCATCACATGCCATATTCCAAGTGAGAAAATCCGTTACCAAATTTGCCTAAGGGATAGTATGCAATGAAATAAACCAAATTTTAATTACATAGATATATAGAAAAAAAGAATCAACAGTTTTCATTGCACTCGTGATCGAAGAGGTACCTGAATATATATAAATATATTGATCGATTCGGACGGCGTCGAGATATCGAGTTGGGAGACAGGGACAGGGTGTGGTCTCGCCAGCGTCGAGTGCTTCGGTGTCGCCGGCGATTGTGCAAGATATACTAGGGTCACCGGCGCTAGCTAGTCTGATCAGGGTTATCTATCTATCGATTGCTAAGGGTAGGGTTAATCATACCTGTTTTTTTCAACGATTCAGCCCAGCTAGTTGGCCGGCCGACTTAATTACGTAATTCATGACCCCTGGCCCGGGCCACAATAATGATGCAAGACAACTTAAAGTTTAACAATACAAGGGCCCATGAACAATCTGCAAGTGGCACCACCAATCTCACCTATTGCAACGATTCGTTAAACTATAGCAATGACGAAATATTGTTGCGAGAGAACCTTGTTAGTTGCAACGATTTTCGGTGTTTGTTGCAATATCAAAGAATGATTGCAACGATTCATGTTTGCATTGCAATACCTATAGACTAATTCGCAACAATTTAGGTTTGCGTTGCAATACCTATAGACTCATTTGCAACAAAGTAGTTTTGCGTTGCTATATACATGAACCTTATAACAACGCTCTAAATTCGTTGCGACATGGATAACTATTGCAACAATAACATAAAGCGTGGCAATATCATCACCCTAATTACAACGCAGATTTATTCGTTGCGATACTTCCTAGTTATTGCAACAAAAAAATTAGAATCGCAACACTACATAATTAGTGGTAATATGCCCCCCCATCGCAACTAAATTAGACTTCGGTAGCAATAACCCCTATGTATTGCAACGAAAATCACGTCGTTGCCCAAAATTTTGTGGCATTAGCCCGAAAACCTTGTAATGGGCCTCCTGCCGCACCTGGGACCTCGCTGCCCAAAGCACCTCCACCTCTGCGAAAATTGGGTACGAATCTCGCCCTCTGCTAGGTGATTTGTTCCGATTGCTTTGTGATGCAATCCCGTGGTCCTCTGCTGCTTTTATTTTGGGAAAAATAGAGTCCGATTGCAGAACGAATCGTTGTCCTCCTCCGATTCCCGTTCCGTGCCCGACATGGTTTCCCCTCGATCTGCTCTTCTGTGCCAAAACAGAGACGAGTCCTAGGCCGACTCCATCCATGACACACCCAGATCAAGACCTGCGCAATCTCGGTAAAAAAACCGAACCTCCCTACTAGCTGGGCTTTGGTCACGTTACATGGTAACGACTTTGACACCAACACATGCACATCGCCACCTCCCGTGACCTCCTCAGCCTTCACGCACCCGTACGACCTCTAGCGCAGCCTCCCGGCATCCCGCTGAACCTCGCCGGCGATGAACACCGCCGGTCAGTTGCATCCAATGCATATTGCTGTGCTAACACGATTAAATAGAGCAATGACGGTCTGTATTGGCTGCCCGTCTTCCTGATTCCGCCGCTTATCGTATGTGCGCCGCCACAATAGCAATCCATCACGCACCACATCGTCAGCACATCAAAAAACAGCACGTAGAAACCACCCGCTCCTACTTCCGATTGAACACCATCAATCAAGTCACGAGTCGAAGCCGACAAGTCGTATGCCGTATTCCAGCCATCGAACGACCCGAGCGCTACGTCTAGCCATCTCCCTGTCGAACGCAGCTCATCGAAAGGCCCAGACCACCCCGCCCAGAGTATTCGAATCCACCGATCGAGAACGCTGATCGCCTCTAGCTTCAATCAACCCGAGCATGCGGCCGCACGTCTCCCTGTCGAGAGTAGCTCACTGGAAAGTTCGAGCCACCCGCCTGAAGTGTCCGATCCACCGATTGATTCGCCAATCGCTTCCGCGGCCATCAACCCGAGCACCACGTCTGGTCATCTCCCTATTGAAAGCGGCCATCAACGGTTCCGGTCGCCTCCAGAAGTGTTCGATCCACCGATCAAGACTTCGTTGATCGCCGCCGTGCTCCACCTTGCGCCAATGCCCCTTCCTGGACATTACAAGCAAGCTACGCAGTGTGGGGCACCTCCATCGCGCCTCTACCATGGACCTCCCGCAGGCTCTGATACCACTTGTTATAAAACCAGCCCCGAAATCGACATCGGTAGCTAAACGCGGAAGAAAACACCATAGGAGATCCAAAACGATGACTACACCGAGACACGATATTTGGTAATGGAGTTCAGCCGTAGCCTACATCTCTGGGGCACTGATTACGGGCGCTCCTCCCCGGTCCGGCATATACAGCGTATCAGAGTTACAACAACTCACGGCCGGTCGCCGCTGGCAGCCGCTCCCTCTCGCTATGCTAAGTCGCCATGCAGTTACAATAGGCACGCCCCTCTATTTATGAGAGACGATCCTGGGATAGAGTCCGACTCATACTCTAGTCCTAATACCTATTACAACTCCAAGTTCTAAACTGTAACCGACTACTTACCCCATCCAACGACTGCCTTGATTGGGCCCGCCTGCAGGTCAAGAAAATCCCCAATACGGCCGGCCAGTACGTGCCTTGGACACCTTTATTGCGTGGTTGCTGCACGAACTTTAATTACTTCACTTTCACTGGTTTCGATTACACTTTACATTGTATATATGTAGCGTGCTCGATATATCGCATATTCGCATGTGATGTGATATTTTTGAATCGTGGTGGCTGTCACTTAGACTATATATATATATATATATATATATATATATATATATATATATATATATATATATATATATATGTGTGTGTGTGTGAGTGGTGCAGAATTCTACCGAGCAAGACAGAAGCAAGCTAGACACGCATAGCATACAGAGAAACGAGCTTATGGATAGCCACCAGGAGACAACCGATATGGAGCTTGCAGGTAAGTAATTAAGCACGTACGTACGATGTAATCTATGTATACGTCCGTCACATTTACGGCTTGTTTCTGCAGTGCATATATATCTATGTAATTAATGGTCACTGGGATCCGGAAAACGTAATTTGCTAAGAGAAATGTCGACTGGGAAGCATATATTAATTAATTTAATTTTACTGTAACAGTTTCAGAATAGTTATTACGGCTTGTTTCTTCAGTGCATTTGTATCTATGTAATTAATTAATGGTCACTGGGGTCATATTGATTTTACTGTGCAACAGTTTCAGAATAGTTTTGAACATAAACATGATTCTGTTGTGTTCTGTATAAATTATCAGTCGCCTGAAACTCTGACGTATCCGGCCCCAAAACCTAGATCTACGCTCCGGCCGTCCAATATATAGCCAATATATAGCATGCTACAAGACGCATATAATTTCAATTTAGAAGAGCACTGTTGTAATCTATTCTCAAATGTCCTCTATTTTTTTTCTGTATTTCATGGGTCTTTCTTCCTTCTATTCTTCATAATGCTTAAAGTTTTATTATGTCCATGCAACATTTCTGAGCCATTAATTACTTACTTTAAATTTTAAAATTTGATTCAGGGTAAAGCTAAAAGTTAAAAAATCAGACTAAGCCAACGGATTAGGATATATATAGGATAGACTTGTTTCTTACTCGGTACGGTAGGAAAACCATTCTGTTAATATGATATGGGCTACAATTATCATTCATAAACGCTAAAAGACAATTAATTTCTAGTAATCAATCAGGCGATTTTTTTAATTGTTTCCATATTGCACTTGATGATCCAATATGAACCAAATAGTGAACGTGAAATCTACTATCTCAATCCCAGAATATAAGAATTTTTAAAGTTAGATACAGTTATTAAGAAAGTAGGAATATTTAATAGAGGAAGGTTGACATTTGTTGAAACCTGGAGATAGGTAGGGATATTGAATGTTGGAAGGTGTGATTAGTTAGGAAGAGAATGCTGATGGAAAAATTGTTTCGTTTTAAGATAAATTGTAAAGTGTACAATTTGTTATATTTTGGGACGGATGGAGTACATTTTTTCGGATAATGTCAAGTTATAGTTGTTCAATTAAAAACAGTATTAACGTGTTTAATTATATAGTTATATACATTTAAATATGTATCAAGGCCCCCCTCAGTCGTATAGAAAGAACAACCTAATATAGCTGTCACAGATTTGCAGTAGATTGCAATTTGCAAGTGACAATTTTGTTATATTGTTTGGCGATGCTGAATTTAGTGTGAACAATATATCTGTACTTTTATTTCCTCAGCTTGCTTTGTGGTCTTTTAATTAATTCAATAATTACACCGCTGGCATATGAACTTGCGAGGTGGGTGCGATTTAGTACGTAAACAAGTAAATCACTTATTTTGATGCATAAACCTGTCTAGTGTGTACAATCCAAACCCAAAATAATACATCATAACTAATTTCACTAAGTTGAATACTGATTAGGATTGTTATATAGGCTTTCATGTCAAGATGAGGTTACCTAAATACACATATGTTCAATCAAATATATAAAAGTCATGTTAATTATACATATTAAAGGTGAATATATACAAAATAATAGAAGAAATAATTGTTACCCATTTACAAACACGACATTTGTCATGCCCTTGATCGTTTGTGCACGAAATTATATATCAGACTAACTCAACATGATTAGTCACAAATATATCGATTTGAACTATTTCGCACTACATACTAGACAAGTTTGCACATCATAATAAGCAATTTAAAAGTTTATGTACTAAAATACAGTCACTTCATAAGTTTGTATACCGGCGACACAATTTAATTACTCTCTAATTAATTTCTTCCTGCCGCGTATGAACAGTGTTTTTTTTTTAGCTATGCTACATCGTCATCATGCAAACCTAAGTCTGCTAGTACGGCAGATATCCCTTAGTTTTTTGAATGCTTGCAACACTGACTGTAAACATTATTCAGCAGAAGGCCAAGCAGAAATTTGCATTGAAACTCTGCTCACCAACTTGACGGCCTGCTGGGAGAGAAGCAGGACAGGGAGCAACCGACCCGAGTGTAAGATTCCGTTATTATGCCCTCCGCAGAGGCCGGCTGCGGTGTGCATCGGCCCCAACCACCACAATCCCTTCTACCACCTGATGGAGCAGGAGAAGAAGGTGATGCTCTACGGCATTCTGATCCTGGTGGACGAGCAGCACAAGGCTGCCGTGCTGAGGAGATTAGTGGATGCGGTCACTGCCCTCGAAAGCGTTGCGAAGGAGCATTATTACATGGAGCAGGTGCCTTGCGATGCCATGAGACGTACTGCGGGTTTCGTGCAGATGCTGCTCCTCGACGGATGCTACATCCTTGGCAAGTTCGTGCTCCATGACCTCTTACCCGTCAGGGCCAACGGTGCGGGGACGAGCCAGCAGCAGCAACATGGTACTGGAAGCGCGATGCAGAACATGGAATTGGTGCGCGACGTGTTCTACCGCCTGGATAACCAGATACCCTTCTGTGTCCTCCGCGCCATCTACGGGGTGCTCCGTGAATGTAGAACCACGCCGGGGGTGATGGCGAGGGAGCTCGATGAGACGTTGGCCGTCCAAGTCCAGGCACTTCTCAAACATTTCGGATACTCCATTAGGAACCAAGTGCCCCGCGAGATCTGGCACCTGCATCACATGCTGCACAAGCACTTCGTCCCACAGGACGATCCTATTCCTACCGGCGATGCTGTTCGGCTGCCGGTCGACGTCGTCGACACCGGCCGGAGATCAGCTACGGCAGCCGCCCCCACCTTGTACCGGTGGCGCGCAGCGACGTTCTACCATGCCACCGGCGTGATCTTCATGAAACGCCACCTCCGCCACGGCGCCAGCAGCGGCGCGTGGCGCTGGTTCGTCGACGGCGGCGGCGCCCGCTCCGTTCTGGACGTGAAGTTCCATCCGCTGACGCTGCGGCTGAGCATCCCGCCGCTCATGGTGGACATGAACACGTCCACGGTCCTCCGGAACCTGATGATGCTGGAGCAGCACAACCCGAGCCTGGGGAGCCAGGTCACGGCCTACTGCTACTTCCTGTCGCAGCTAGCCGGCACGGCGAGCGACGTCGCGCTCCTCGCCAAGAAGGGGATCATCGTGAGCCTCCTGGCCAGCGACGGCGACGTCGCCAGGATGCTCGGCGAGCTCTGCGTCGGCATCACCATCAACCCGGCCGACGAGCGCAGCCACAACTACCTGCTCGACACGAGGAAGGGCCTCGAACGTATGTACAAGACCCGCGTGATTAGGTGGATAGCGCAGCTCTACCACCGCTACTTGAGCAATCCGTTCGTGCTGACGGTGCTGGTGGCTGCCATGGTTGGATTTGTCTGTGAACTTATACAGGCAATCTATGCAGTCAAGTCCTTCAAGCGCCGACCATAACATCTACATGTGGAGCTGGCAAACCTTAAATATCGAACTACCCGCCTTTTGTTAGGTTTATTTTTCTCTCCTTTCACTCCATTAAGAGTAGTTAACATTGGGAGTACTTAATTTTTATCCGGGTTCTGTAAATTGTAATAAGGCGCCAATTCCATTTTATTTAGATCCGTGTGCCGGGCATGTCGCGTTCGTTGTAGCTTACACAGGCCAGCTTGTTTGTGTCATGTCATCAAAAGTAGTACCATTTTTTTCCAAAAAACTTTTAACATCAACATTGCTTAAATAAATAGCATAAGTTTTAATACTAGAACCAACTATTAGCTATAAGCTTATGTTTGACCTAATATAAGATGTACAATAGTTTATTTATAAGGTTAATTACCTCTCTATTTTGCTCATCTATATATGTAATACAATTTTCTTGGAGCATGTGAAGACCAGGTTTTTTTTTATGAGAATTTCGCTTTGGACCAGTTCTTTTTACCAGAGTTTCACAATAGACCAGGCCTAACATTAGGTTTTCACTTAACACCATATAATTTTGCACTAGGTTGCACTTTGGACTAGGGGTTGGTGATTTGGGATAGGATGTTGGCTGTGGCCCATCCACGTTAGCAGGCAACACCCTCTCTTCTTCGGCACCGGCAATGCTGATCTGGCCACCGCCAAGCAACAAGGATGTGGGTGAGCTCTGCACGTGCATAACAGCTGAGCATATGCGGGGAGAAGAGCAGCCGAGAAGGTGCGGCAAGTGGGAGAAGCAATGATCTCGAACGACAAGAATGTGCTTGGAGATTGTTGAGGTCACCGGTCACAGAACAAAGAGATCGGCGACGGGCTTGAATGGGTCGCGGACGTGGAGACATTGGATCCAGACAAAGAGATGTTGATGGTGGTAGCTAGGTCATTGTTCCAACAAGGACGTGATGTGGTGGCTGGGTTGTGGTACCATAGCCTTGGCGATGGCTGTGGCTTGGCTTTGGCCGAGGCGACGACAGCGCAGAACAAAGGCAAGAAGATGGCTAGCAGCTGCAGTTCTGCCTGCTTGTGTAGATGGGCCAGTTCAAATTGCTTCCAAAGTGCAATCAAATGTAAAAACATATGGTGTTAAGTGAAAACTTTGTGTTAGCCCTGATTCTTTGTGAAACTTGGATCAAAAGAACTAGACCAAAGTGAAATTTACTCTTTTTTTATTTTGTCTCTCTCTTTCACATACTTGTCGAGTTTTAGCTAGCTGTTATAGTTGCTCAAAGGTCCTACGGAAAAAATAAAGGTACTATATATGTAATTAGCTTTATAATTACATATAGCATCAAATTCATTTTGCTACTACGTAATAACTTCATTTTTATAATCCGTATTGAGATATTACATCAGCTTCTAGCTAGGATGTAAATTAATGAGGATATAGCGATGTAATTAGCCATATACCTAGTAATTTAGTGTGTATTTGCTCGAACGACAAATAAATTGAGTATTTAGAATGCCCTGACAGATTTTCGCCTAATGAAATGTGCCATACTGTATGCCTGTACAAAGTTACTAATAACACAACTAAGGCAGTTAGTTTTTCTAACATGTGGGCTTATAAATAATTCTTCTTTGATATGATTAAAATGCCCAGTTCCGAGGCTATTACACCTTCCCAGTGCACTGGGAAATAAGCTCATATTTTATTATATAATGGACAGCGTGATCTGGTCAAAATTTATATTCGCGCACCAGTGTCAGCACTACTTGAAAACATTTTTTGAATGTTTATAATAATGACAAAGGGTCCTATGGTCTAATTGCATGTGTACTAAATTTCTCCGTTCCAATCGTTCTGGTGGGTTGGTATGTCGACTGTGCATGCCCTGACAGTCGAGTACGAATGTGCAATGCACTCTCTACTGGAGTACTCACATTCGACATACGAAAACTGACAACAAATTTTAAATATCAAAAGGGTGGGAATAAATCTGTACCAGTCTCAAAAGCAGAAATTGTTCCCTATTGGAAATTTTGAATGCACACTTTTTAGGCATGACACTGCAAAGCAGATCATTGTCATTGATATATATGAATGCCATGTTTTCTTTTCCTAATGGTCCCCATGTGGCATGAACATGGTGGCCACTTGATCATTGGATGCAGCGCCGTTCCCACAACCGTCCCGGATGAGCCCCCAGTTGTCTTCTCTATCCCACATAGGCCTCGATCGGTTGAAATGTGATGCATTTGGAATCTTGGTTTGAGCAGATGACCTCTCCTTTTGAATCTTTCACAATGTCAGCACCATTGGAGTCGAATTTTTCTTTGGAGAACCACTTTGACAGAATAAGGATTCACATGTATTTAGATTCCCTAATACTGAAGCTTGGTGCTGCTGCTAGCTGCTACTAAATGATGTTCCTAGCTGCTAATTGATGTTGTTTGATGATGTTGTGTGCGCCTGCTAAATGCTTTGATATATGCATTTGTTTTCATATATGCTTGTCATGATTCAAAATTCAGAAGCAATATATTTACTCCTTGTTAGTAGGTTAGTTATAGTTCACATTTATTTTACTCTTTTATACAACATAAATTGTTAGAGGAATGACACGAGGGCCTTTGACTGAGCCCGCTGAAACACATCGTCAATATCCCGAGCGAAGCCAAGGGCGAAGTGCGAAGCCGAAGGCGAAGCGCAAGATCAAGGGTGAAGCAAGGGATCTTCGCGAAATATGTGAACTAATTGGCACCCAGGGTGGACAGACCCTTCGGTGAAGCCCATTAGGCGGCCCAAGAATGAGTGGCCTAATTGCCTGTAATTCCCCATGGGAATAAGTTCACCGAAGGTCCCTCAACTTAACAGCGAGATTTTTTAAGATCCTTTAACCCCAAAACCAGAAATGTATACCCCTAAACACACACAAACCGTGCATAAAAGGTCCCAAGGCAGTATATATGAGTGGTTTCGCTGACATGGCATCCTAGTCAGCAAAACATTTAAAAAATTACATGGGCCCACATGTCAGCTGCACATTTTTTTCTTCTCTTTTCTCTCTTCTCTCTTCTCTTCTTCAGGCCAGCGGCAGGAGGAGAGACGATGGGCACGCGCGGATGCCGGCGGCGGGCGAGCGCCGCGGCGGAGCGTGGCGACAGAGCAACGAAGCGGTGGCGGGCTGCGGGCGGAGCCGACGGCGGGCGAGCGCCGCGGCGGAGCATGGCGGCAGAGCAGCGAAGCGGCGTCGGGCTACAGGCGGAGCGGACGGCGGCGAGGAGGCTGGCACAACTACGTCGCGCGTCACCGATATGCGCGCGGCCTTCCCGTGGCAGACCTGGCACGAGGCGTGGGACAAGAGCCACATGTCCCCCTCGTCGACGGCGCTGAGGCAGACCACGCACTCGACCGACGCCGTCGTGTTCGAGACCTCGCATCCCCAACCAATTGCTTACATACGACTACTCCAAAATTCCCCAATCCCGAATCCGATGTCAAGCTCATCTCATCTCGTTTCGTTAGCTACCTACCAAATTAATAAGCTACAGACAGCGTAGCGGACGAGGAATCCAAATCAAATCCAATCCTCAATCGAAGAATCCAATGGAGTGCGAGCCGGTGGTGCTTGTCACGCCCGGAATTTCTATCCAAAATTCCAAACGCTTACATGTGTGTGAACCCTCGTCCAGGAATCAGCCGAGGCACAAAATAACAAATTGATAATAGAGAACAATTATTACTCTAATTAATAAGCGTATAAAATGTCATTACAGAGGTAGATAGTTCCTCTCAATCAATAAAGATCTACGCAGCGGAAAATAAGATAAACGGCGCAGACGGCTCCACTCCACAGGCAGCTTGACCAAGGCTACACCTAATCCTCCACACCATCAGCTTCACTGTAGAACTCTCCTCTGATGAATGATTGCAAGGTGAGTATATGACATACTCAGCAAGCCACGCAGCAAATATGCAAGTGCACAGGATAACAAAGGATGGCATAGTAGGGTTTCATTTGCAAAAGCAGCATTTAGCAAATATTTGAGAATTTAATAAAACAGTTAAGTAATTAAATAATATTAATCCAACGCTATACAACATACCCTGTTGTATAGGCCCAACCATTCTGAACAACCATCCCGGCTGCACAGTTCTATCTCCAAACCAGGAATATACCATTCCAAACCAGGAGCTAATCAAATTATTACCAATTAAAGCACCTTTTATTATGATGAGAAGGGTGAGACTAATCACAAAAAACATTGTTAGACCCGCCCATAACCGCGGGCACGGCTATTCGAATAGTTTTACTCTGATCAGAGGTGTACCACTGTACCCACAAGACACAACCCCACATCATGTCACCACGTGCCTCAATACCACCACGGTACCTCGGAAAGGAGTTGTGACTATACCCCTTGCATAACACAATCCACTGCAGCGCACCTTCCTGGATCATAATCACCCCCTTAAAAACAAGGCATGGACTCCCCAGCGACCCCCGTGGGCTTATCTCCGCCACTTCTCAGTCTGGTGCCCCGCAATGAACCATGCTATACAAAAGATAAAGCCGTTGCCCACGCTGGCTTGTGGTTGGCACGGTTAATGTTTCACAACCGAAACTCGTGAACCGGTCCTTAATTGTCATGAGCACGACCATCAAAACCATGTGCTCACAACCCACCATTATCAGGTTTTAGTTGGAAAATAATTAATTAACAAATCACGATTGACCATCGTGAACTATCATTAAGCCATCATTAAATTATAGTGATTCATAAGTTATCCCAATAGTGTACTAATGTTTCTAAGCAGGGCTAAGCAATTATATCTAATACATCTAGTTGAACCAACATGTAGAGCTCAACTAGTCAAGTTATAATAACCCAAGGTATCAAGGAATAAGGTAATCAAGAATAAAAGGGCTATAACAAACAATAGGTTAATTCCACCCAATGACATTCGAAAATAAATGCAATATTTGAATAGAAACAATAGATTTAAATAGGATCAACATGCTCAAAGGGTTGTTTAGGATCTGTGTGACTTGCCTTGCTGGCCTTTGGAAC